TGTCGTGCTCACACAGCTGCCTGTTTTAATGCGCAGAAAAACAAGCTACAAAGCATTGTGGAAAATCAGAGTGCACAGTCAAGCTACTGTTTTTCTTTGGAAGGCGGGAGGATCCAATCAGACAGCTGCCTGTTGCATTAAGAATAAAGAGCGGAATAAACCGATGTTACTTTGAGTTACGCTTTCGGCTCAAAAGAAAGCATCAAGTAAAGCTGTGACATGCTTTTTTAAAAATAGATTATCACACTCTTATTCCATTACACAGACACTATTCAGGTTTTGATCCAATTAAGTCGCTGGCTGAATCATGGAGGTAAAAGCTTTTTAACCGTGTCACCTTCCAGAAGTGGGACACTGAGGGCAAATGGGAGACCGCTTTTCAAAATGGGCCAGCATGTGACACTCATGTTTAATAGACTCCATTTTCAGCCAACAAACTAACATTGTTCCACTTGTAGCCTTTTAGTTTTCTCAACAGAACAAATTACCTCGTTTCCCTTGTCAGATAGAGTACAAATAGTCCATTATATAAGGAGGAATCTTATATTGCTACTTTTCGTTTTCCAGCATCTCTCTCTCTCTCTCACTCACTCACTCACTCACACACACAAACACACACACACAGGTACGAGCTAACTGTACAAGTTTACTTTTTTTTTTCACATTGTGCCACGACACGCTTCCTCATCTTCTTTCCCGTTTTAAAAGCCCATTTCCTGCATGAAAATTTAGCATTTGAGATTATTTTCTGATTGGAATTAAACAATATGCTAACCATCAAGTCATTTAGTTCAAAGGCGATCATCACGTGGTAGCACACTTGTGGCGTGGTGGCCGAGTTTGGGAGATTTAGGTAACTGCTGCCCTCTGTAGAATTTCTTTGGTATTACACTCCCTCTTGAGTCGCAGTCAACTGCGGCAGGCCAAGAGGTGTGTCTAATATTTGTGGTGAGAGGAGGAAGTACACCAGGCAAACTATAATCATCTAAAAAAATGTTTTGTATAAAATACAATGGATTACAGCTTATACTTTATTAAATCAGTGCTGATTTTAAGTAACCTCTTTTGTTTTCACTATTAGAAATTAATCAGCCCAAAATCGTTTTAGGACTTGCCCTGGAGCCACAGGGTCAACGTTGTGAGACCTTATATGAAAATATGAAATTGGGGCTTGTTATTGCTGCTGTTTTTGAAGAGAGGACAAATTTTCTCCCCAAAATTGAAAAATATTGCAAATACCTTTCATGTATTATTCAGGTATTTTTTTTCTGACGATCTGAACGTTCCCCTACGTTTGAAAAACATAGCTAGCATAGATGACTAATCAACCATGGTTGGGATCTTGATTTTTTTTTTTTTTAACTTAAGCACTGGCTTTGAATTTTTACTCACAGTTTGGCGAGTCTTTTGTTGTTGTTGTTTTTAACACAAGTGTCAGTACTTCTACCTAAATAGAGAGTGCAAATACTTAGTTCCTGTTTTGTTAAATAAATTGTTAATATGTGTATGTTACCTGATTTTTTTTACTCCTTACATCTTAACACATATTGGCACTTCCTACTTCAGGGGGAAACAAACAAACAAACAAACAAACATGGCAATAAATGTGGTGTTTCTAACTTCTGACCTCACCCCAGAAACAGAAATATGAAGAAGAAATAAGACACTGGAGGTTGTTGAAAACATTGGAGTCAAACAGCCAACAGTCAACATGTGAACTTTGCATCGACTATTAAATGTACATCACTGCCCCCTCGTGGTTGGTTTGACTCATAGTTCTGAAATTCAGGGTTCAAATCCTCGACCTTCCGCTGTGGAGTTTACATGTACTGTACTTTCGGTCCTTGCGTGCATTTTCTCTGGGTACTCCCGCTTGCTCCCATATTCTAAAAACATGCGTGCTCGGGTCATTGAAGACTAAATTATCCAAAGGCGTGAATATGAGTGTGAATGAATGGTTGTTTCTCGATGTGTGTCCATCCCACCCACCTTTGACCCAAAGTCAAGTGACGACAATGAGGACAAGCACAATAGAAAGTGGATGGATGGATAGATGTCTTAAAAATATGTACTTTAATGCTTTTTTTAAGATAACCAGTAGAGTGAGAGCTCATTTGTACTCTGAAATGGTGTCTATGCTCATCCACCACCAGAGGGAACTCTCATGCTCTTTGAAATGGTGACTGAAAGGACTGTAATTGTCGAGGGCTTATTCCACATGATTAATCATTTAATGTGACTGTGGATACTGCAGGTGTTTGCAAGATACCAATCGCGCATAAAGTGACAGCTATGTGACAAATGTCAAATATGTGTATATTTTTCCTTTAGGTTTTGGTTGAGACTGTATGAAAGGTTCTACTTGAACAATATGTTCAGCATAGTGGTTGAAATATGCAGTAGGGTACAAATATACTGCATTGCAATCAGATCAGAGATCAGTGTCTCATATTTTGGTTACCTCATCTAGTTACATGAGTGATCTGTAGTTTGAAAGTAACTAGTCTTGTTGCTTTTTTTCCAACCTCTGATGGCTGAGGACACAACATAAACAAATATAAAGGAGAGGGATGAACGAGTATCGATATCAGGGATCAGTTTCTGGCCAATACCAGCCTCATATTAAAGCACATATATACGGTGTACCGCATTATAAGGTGCATAGAATAGAAGCTACAATGGTGGCTGAGGTTGCATAATGCATCCACTAGATGCAGCGATGCTAAAGGGAATGCAATACAGATTTATATCTATAGTGCTTTGACAAGCGCTGCAGCGGTAACAGAGCCCTTTACAAAGCATTTAAAATATTTCGTCAAAGAAATCAGAATATTGATCCATATGTAAAGATTATAAGGCGCACTGTTGAATTTTGAGAAAATCGAATGCTTTTAGGTGCACCCTGGAGTGCGGAAAATACAGTAGTCGTCTCTCTAACTTTATACTAATTACTTTAGCACCAGCTCTTGTTTCTCATCTTTCAGATAACTTTTTTAGGTCCATTGTAGTTACTTAAAATGCTTAAATTGATCTGAAAAAAAGTAAACTGATAAGGTCTATTTTTATAGTTACCACTAGCTAATTTGACATATTTGGCAGTCATCATTATACTGGCCAAGTGATGATTCGAAGAGCTAAGGACGATGCCTTTTGGAGCGGAGATGGAGCACTGTATAAACATGCCCGAAACTGGCTGACAAAGTAAACTCACAAAGAGAATCTTTGCAGATAAGCTGCAAAACCGGTTTCGTCAGTGTGGAAATATTTCCAATCAGTTAGTAACAACATCAGACCATCCCACCCAATAAAGAACAATAAAGGAGTGGCAGACGTAGCCTACTGCAGATTTGAAAAAGGATACGCCACACACCTTCCCAGCCCCACCATCGCCAACCTCCATCACACTCTGCATCTTCAAGCAACAAAAGATCAACAAAGCGGCCGGGCCCGATCCTGTTTTGCACATCCCCGTTGTGACAGTTATTGTAGCTTCGGCGCACTCTGTGTTATCTGCACAACTATTGTTGATCACTGTTCCACACTACTGAGCGCTTTCGGGAGCTCAAGGACTCTCTTCATCATTTACACAACTGTAATTGTATCATCACCGTTTGGAAAATTTCTCTTTTCAAGCAGAACTGTTTTATCTTGCTACACTTGCCAGTTCCATCCAACCATCCATCTTCTGCCGCTTATTCGGCGTCGGGTCGCGGGGGCAGCAGCTTTAGCGGGGAAGCCCAGACTTCCCTCTCCCAAGCCACTTCTTCTAGCTCTTCCCGGGAGATCCCAAGGCGTTCCCAGGCCAGCTGGGTGACATAGTCTCTCCAGCGTGTCCTGGGTTGTCCTCGGGATCTCCTGCCGGTGGGTCATGCCCGGAAGACCTCATCAGGTTGGTGTCCAGGAAGCATCCGAATCAGATGCCCGAGCCACCTCATCTGGCTCCTCTCAACGTGGAGGAGAAGCGGCTCGACACTGAACCCCTCCCGGATGACTGAGCTCGTGACCATAGATGAGGGTTGGAACGTAGATCGCCCGGTAAATTGAGAGCTTCGCCCTTTGGCTCAGCTCCTTCTTTACCACGACAGACCGATACAAAGTCCGCATCACAGCAGATGCTGCACCGATCCGCCTGTGGATCTCTCGCTCCCTCCTGCCCTCACTGCGAACAAGACCCCAAGATACTTAAAGTCCTCCACTTGTGGCAGGATCTCCTCCCCGACTCGTAGAGGGCACTCCACCCTTTTCCGACTGAGGACCATTGTTTCAGATTTGGAGGTGCTGATTTTCATCCCAACCGCTTCACACTTGCCAGTTCCAAGGATTTTTTATTTTTTTGTTAATTGACAGACTTATGAAATGCCCCGCACTTGGCCAACAATGATGATTCCCATTCTGGTCAGTGTATATTGAAAAACATGAGCGCCAGCAAAGGATATGCAAAGCGAGCCGACCGATCGTGACATTTCAACATGTAGCGAAAAAAGCTCAACCATTCTCGCTTTGCTCTGCAAGAGTGCAGCGCGACGACGTGAGAAATTCTCAAATACTCCACAAATATTTGTTCTTCATTATCTGGAGCACAGCTTTTCAATCTTGCTTGATGAAATTGACTTGCGCAGCAAACCCCACTGGAATGCTGCAAGATCACTTCTTGATAATATAACCAAATAAGCCACGCAGGCTGGCTCTCCTAAAGCTATGCAGGTTCTGTCATACCTAAATGACACTCTCTCCCCCTCTCTCTCTCTTTTTGCAAAAGAAAGGAAAAAAAACGGACCGTGTTTTATTCGCACATGTCTCTCAGCAGTGAATCACATGCTCTGTAAAGGCAGACCGACATTGAAGGCATTGTTGCCAAAATATGCAGTGGACCGCACGTCCGAATCAACCTCACGAGTTGTGCAATTGCCGTTGCCAAAGCACTTGACACCAGCCCTTGCAAATTCAACACCTTGCCATTATTCTCTGTGTCTACACGAAACACGGGGTTGTGGTTGGTGCTCGGAAATATGACACAGTTTCTGTGCGCCTTCATCGTTGTGAGGCCAGAGTTGGGGATGCTGTTATTTTTTTTCCCAACAGAGTCATATAAAAGTCGGCAGCACCTGCAGCACTCTGTGTTTACTGTTTCCACTTTGCAGTTAGTCGGCTGCATTCGACACTTCCTTGGGCACAACCTATTTGATCTTTCACTCAGCTCAGCTGGACGACGGAATGGTGAGTCCATTCTAAGAGCACTGAATTTGAAATTCTAGTCGACAATTTGTGTTTTAAAAAAAAAAAAAAGAGGTTTGTTTCTAGTGTTTAAAGGGGGCAATAGTATGTGAGGCAGGTTATGGAAGATTGTTTTTGTAATGCTTTTATGCAAAGAAGTCGAGTCTCTGGAGTGCTTGCCCACTCAAAGTATGAAATTATACAACCAAGTAAACTTGTTTGCGGTCTACTGTATGTGCCAAATTGCGTGCGGCAGTTTGCCATGTTGATCGTTGGCCTTATTAAATCAAAGTCAGGCTAATTTCAGGCCTCATACAGTTTCCCCACAAATTTGTTGCCACTACATCCAACATTTGATTGAACCACTGTCATGTCAAATCCAAAAGTTGAGCAGATCTGCAGTCTTGTTAGATGCATGGATCAGCATTACGTCCTCATAACTAACAGTATATTAACACAAGATTGGGTGTCCTCGGTTTACGAATTCTGCAATGTAACACAAATTAGTATCCAAGAAGTCGCTCACCACGCTAGACTAACGCAGTTGTAGGCTACAGTCCTGCTTACAGTAAATATTTGGATGAAAAGCATTTCCAGGCCGTGAACACAAAACAAATGAATAACAGGAAGTATGGCGGTGATTGAGCGCGCCTTCTCGTGAAGCGCGACTCCGCGTTCCTACGCCGCTGCACAAACTACTACGTTGTGTCAGGGCTCTTGATGCTCTTGACCACGTCTTTATCTTACCATGTCTCTCATTTACTTTCCAGGAGTTGAATTGCACGGAGATAGATGATGTGCTGGAGAGATTCTACCTGTCTCCGTCTTACGGACTCGAGTTCTGCATCGGTTTCCCGGGGAATCTGATTGTCATACTTGGTTACCTGTTTTGTCTGCCCAAGTGGCAGAGCTGCAATGTTTACCTCTTCAACCTGGCAATCTCCGACCTCACCTTCCTCTGCACGTTGCCACGCCTCTCCTACCTCTACGCCAACCAGCAGAAAGAGACCAGCTACTACGCTTGCGTCATCAACCGCTACATCCTGCATGTCAACCTCTACTCATCCATTCTGTTTATGGTCTGGCTGAGCATGGATCGCTTTTTGCTCATCCGCCACCCGGCGCGGAACCACTTCCTGCTGAGGCCGCGGGCGGCGCTGGTGGTGACCGGCTTAAGCTGGCTTGCCGTCAACGTGGAGGTGATCCCAATGATAATGCTGATGCTCCAGGATCTGCAGAGTGGAAACTGGAGTCGCTGCAATGACTTTGCCAGCCTCCAGGGTGACGTCAGCGCTTTGGGCTACAGCATGGGGCTCACTTTAACCGGCTACGTTCTACCTCTGCTCGGACTCTGCGGATTCTCCAAGCGTATTGCGCAGCTACTACAGACCCAGGAAACGGCTTTTCATCGAAGGACGGCACAGTACAAGCACACGCTCAGGGTCGTGGCTTCGGCATCAGCCATGTTTCTGGTTCTGTACACTCCATACCATGTGATGAGAAATGTTAGGATAGCATCCCGGCAGGCCTGGGCAGGGGTGCGCTTGTGTACAAGGATGTACATCGAGGGCCTCTACATCTTGACCCGACCGTTGGCCTTCTTGCACAGTGTCATCAACCCAGTCTTCTACTTCCTCATGGGGGACAAGTTCCGAAAGTTCCTCCTCGCAAAAGTTCGAAAGCTGGCCAGAAAGACAACGCAGCCAAGAGAACCTATATGAAAACTCCGTTCAGCACGTATACATGTGATAAGATCCGTTCCTTCACCGTCCGCTTTATTTGGCACACACGCCTCCGAAGTGGCATTAAACAGTTTAAACTGCCGCACTGCCTGACGTCCGTCGAGACCAAAGCAAATCGCGCATGGTGTCAGCTCAGCAACTAACGGTTAATTACTTGGTTTTTGCTGTTTGTTAACTTTCCAAATCATTCCGGAAGATTGATTTTCAACATGCATGACATCTCACAAGACCTCCGAGTTAATCATGTGAGCTCCATTCAGCAGTGATTCATATCTGCCTCAGTGCTTGGCTTTTCTTTCACAGCCTGGAAAGGAATGTTAAGAGACGATTGTAAGTAAAGAAAAAAATATATACTCAAGTTATTGTATGTGAAGAAAGAAGCCACCAATGCAAAGCTGCGGGACTCCAACCATCACGTCCGCACAAAAGTAGCGCTTGTGCTGTTTTTGCATTTTACAATGGTTGACTTCATCATGACCTTCATTAATGTTCACCTCAACTCCGCTGTATTCATCGAGCGCTTTAAAACAACCGCCACTGTGTACAAAGTGCTGTACATAGAGCAAAAATAATTCCTACAACAACAAACAATATAACAGTCATGAAAACGGTAATAAAAGCACAAACACAGTAAAACTAAAAATCAAGTCTCAGACATTTGCAATTCACTGTTTTGGTAAAATATGTTGTGAGGTTCATAAAATTATTAGAATGGAGAGTTTTATTCTGCAACAGATCAATTACATTTTTCCTTCGTTAGGGGAAAATATAGTCTAAACCTGGGGAAAAAAGAGGATTTTGGTGAATGATGGGAAATCAATCTGATGTGTAGACAGGTGCCCAACGTATGATCCAAGCCACATATTTTACCCAGTAGAAAAATGTCCCAAAAAGTATGAATATCTAACAACGATGATGTGTCACTTTATTGACACATTTACTAAATCAGTGGGAAACCTTGACGAATTTAGTCGAATAAAAAGCTGACACACTCAGAGGAAGCCATGCCATATTCTGTTGTATAAATAACAAGTGGATACACATTTATTTTTGTACCTTCCTCCACAAGTAGAAGAGCATCAACTTAAAGATTAAATGTGCATACATTGTACGGTATCTAAAAGCAGCGGTGGGTGGTGAGTTTTGGACGTGGGCCAATCTCGACTTCATCTACCTTTTTTCCCAGTAACGTCGCAAAATATACTAAAACGCGATATACTTAACTGTGTGGTAATAAAGGAGAAACAGAAGCATCTTCGATATGCGAAGATGAATACTATTCGTGCATTATGAAAGCAAGTTCTCTCATGACTTTTATCTCCCGATAAATCACTTCCAAACCTCAATATTACAATTCACAATCAATATTCATCTCATTACAGGACAAAAATATTCAAAGTATATAAAATACATCATACACAACAGAAACGCTGATACAGATCTCCTTTCTTTGCTCCTGCCTCTCCGTGTAAGCTAGCCATAGCGCTCGTACATGCTGCTCTCAAAGTGCACAAACGTTTTTTTTTAAATGTTTTCTTGGTTGGAAAAAAAAGCCTTACAGCAGCGCCATTGATTGACATAGTCTCAAAGAACAGTTTTTCTCGAAAAAACGTGCCTTGAAGGTCAAAGTGCACAAACGTTTTTTTTTAAATGTTTTCTCGGTTGGGAAAAAAAAAAGCTTTACAGCAGCGCCATTGATTGACATAGTCTCAAAGAACAGTTTTTCTCGAAAAACATGCCTCGAAGTAGAATTTTTAAGCAAGCCTGACATCATCCTTTCCCTTTGAATCAATCATTGATGCAAAAATTCAGCACATGCAAAACAGACCATTAAGGTGAACAAATCGATGGAGGCAAAAATGCCGACGTCACTTCGAGCCTTTGCGAACGCACAGAGTGGTGAAGATACAATCTGATTGGTTTTTAAAAATAAATAAATAAACAAACAGCTATTTCTCTGGTGAGTGTGTCCAACAGCACTACTCGGGATTATGAAGGCCTGAAATGTGATTGGACTACAAAAAAACACACACACACACGAACGACTGGAAGCCGCACTGCCAAGACACATGCTATAAAATGAAGATGAAAGCCCAGACGCTTAAGCAGATAAAGGTATTACCATTTCATGTAAGTTGTAAGTATAGGTCTGAGCTTCTGTTAGTGTTTGGGCGAGTAGAGAAGGCAGGTAAAAAAGCTGCTCTGCTCGCAGAGACGAAAGGAAGGGAAAGGCAAAGTGTGGCCAGAATTATTGCAAGGCGGCAGTTGGGAGAAGATCTCGGAGGCCATGGTGGGAAGAAAATAGACTAAAATCAAAAACAGAAGGTAGAAGGACTCCCAACAGAACATGAAAACCTCTCAAGGAATTTGTGTAAATAGTCAAGCATGTCAACTTTTACTATCTTCATCCTCAACACATGGAGAAAATATTCAGAGCTTTTTTTTTTTTTAAATGAATTATTATGCAGCTCCATATATATGAGGCAAAGGGCTTTTGGGCTTGTTGGCTGCCTTATATTTTTTCGCGTCCTGTGCGGGAACAAAATTTATTTGATGCGTATTTGGCCCTGAGAGTCGGCGATTGGAATTGAAGCGGATTCTCTTCTCATATTTGACACAGCTCACAATAACATGACAATCCTAAAAAAAAAAAAAAAAAATGTGTTTCCCGGTTCACTTTAATTTCTACTTTTATCTCTGGCCTTATCCTTTAAAGTCCAACTTTACTGTGTTCCCTGTTTTGGTAAATTATGTTCAAAGTCAAAATAGCCTTGACTCAGTTGAACACTATTAAAAAAATAAATAAACAACCCCCCTCCCTCCCCCCAAAAAAAATCAAAAGAAAAAAACATGATACGTATGTATTGTACTGTCCACGTGTTCTCATCCTAAAGTCACATGACAGAAAACAACGCAAAGCTACTTCATACACTGAACACCAACAATTTTTCTTTTTTTTTTTTTTTTTTTTTTTAACGGCTAAGTGAAAAAGGAAATTTTAACTATTGTCAAGCATATGGTTTTGCTTCATGCTGTGTTCCTTATTCTCAGTAGCAAGTATGTGACAGGAACACGGGCTGTGAATCATTTCCATTAGTCAGATTCCAATTATCAAAGTATGAAAACATCATCAATCTTGACAGAGTTTGGCTATCGCGTTGAACATATGGAGATGATAATATTTGCTGGCAAACGTCTGCCAAAGATGAAAAGGCATATTCAAGTTTGTTGTGTGATGAGGCAGAAATAACCACAAAACGATGTGTTGTGCACATGCCATACATGAGGCAAGTATAATCCATTTAAACTGCACTATATGTTTTCTCCCCCCTGGAGTCAATGCTTATAATCCATTTCACGTTATTCTCATTATCCCTTTAGAGTGGAAAAGGAATTCAGGAGCGGATCTCCAAAGGGGATTGGATGGCGCACACACAGAGCACACGTAAGCATACCTGCAAAAAATCCAGAATAAGAAACAAGACGAGTGGAGCACACCAACACTTACTTGAATCATCGTTTTCGAAAGAGGGTTGCGCCGCACTTGTACGTCATCCCTGATAAGAATGCGTTAAGGCATATCGATTGGCACATTGGGCAACAATGGGCAAATGATTGTACATTTGGAAAGCGATTCTACAGGCACTGCAAAATCTAATCAGGAAATGTTTCACTCAAGGACACCCACTGTGCTTTCACACATTGTTTTCATCACTAACAACTTGCTGAGACCAACAATGATTGCCAAGAATATGTCGGGTCTGAAGCACTTGTTTCATCTAAAAAGCAGCAATTTTCTTATTGTTACTTCAAACACTTTAACAGGTGAAATTTATAGATAGATAGATAGATAGATAGATACATGCATACATACACACGCGCAGACACACACACACACACACACACACACACACACACACACACGCACACACACACACAGTCAAGCGATTACAATTTTACAACTAATGAATGGCCCAATTTTCCATCATAGAGATTAATCACATTTTTCTATTTGAAAAACCTTGGAATAAATATTGAGGAAAAATCTTGGAATTAAGGTAAAAAAAAAAAGAAATAGAAATTCTTCTCCTGGAAAATAGAACTGTTGGAAAAAAAATAAAATTCTTTACAGGCATCTTTTCTATATTCCATTCTTCTCCTGGAAAATAGAACTGTTGGAAAAAAATAATACAATTCTTGACAGGCATCTTTTCAATATTCTTACAATGGAAACCATTCTCAAAGCTTCTTGCTTACAGCCACCACCAAGCCCGTTGAAAAAAGAAAAAAAACCCATCTGATCACAGACAGAAGTCGAAACTAATGAGGTGTCATTTTGTGTGGACTCGCGGACAGTCTCACAGCAGTCAAAACCGACAAACATATGGAGACACTGAACTCACCACACCGTTCTGTCATAGATTAACTCGATGTCAGATTGTTGATGGAATGTTTCTGCAATATTTTCAACCCCATTACACAACCGATATTGCCTCTGTCAGTTTTGGGAATTGAAGTAGATTTTTGCCACAATGGTTTGCTGTGTGCCTGGAGACTGTTCCACTCATCCCAGACAAGGCGTTTGGATGTACCGTTTGCTGAAAGATGGAACCTGAGGGAGGTAAACCCAAAATGAATTAAACGTTACAACATAATCTAGCATCATTAACTTCAGATGAATGATATTGAACTCATGTTGTATCAAAAAAAAAAAAAAAGGATACTTTTACTCCCTTCAGGAACTTTAGCTGGAACTGTGGCAGGGAGATTCCACCACCGGAAAATTTGAAAAAAAAAATAGAAGCTGATTTCCTGTACAGGAAAATGATACACGCACAGAGGCAATAATTAAAGGAAGCTTTTCAGCTTTACAGAGAGCTCAATGAATTAATCCACATTCAAGTACTTCATATACTCTACTGTTCAAGATTTGCAACAACAAAAAAAATCCCTCGGGGATACAGAACAAAGGGAAGATTCAGTTCCTGTAAAAATGCCGCTAATTTATTCAATAAAATGCCAATCAACTTCCCATTTGCACCCATAAAAACTTCAGCTTTAATGACATTTCATATGAGCAACTATTGCATAGGTTTCACACACACACACACACACACACACACACACACACACACACACACACACACACACACACACACACACACACACACAAAAAAAATCCTCAAATACTACATAAGATACACTTATTGACGCTAATTCTCTATCGACATACTCCAAGTCCTAATCAATGAACCAATTAGGCCTTGGACTTGACCCCCTTTGGGTAATCTTAAATCTACATCTGGCCATGCCACTCAAGAATCCTAAACCCTTATGTTTCACCCTGCGTGCCAAGCAAAGTCCATGAAGTGATTCTCGGATGAGTTTGGTATTTAAAAACGCCATCAAACACAATCATCTTAAATTCGATTCAGAGACCGCTGGCCTGTCTTGGTTCCAACATCTGTGTTGTATGACGTGACTCTTCTGGATCAATGACCACAAATTCTCACATCTGGTAGCTGTGACTTGAATGCCGTTCACAAAAACTGGCCGGTTCCCCAAGTCGTTTTGGCTACGTAATGATACAAATGCAACGGGACGGCCTAATCAGGTAACTTTTATTGCGTGTGGTGGGGAAACCAAATGAGAATCTCATGGGAACACAAAACGTACAAGATATGACGTCAAATCCTCAAGCCAAGAGTCCACTCTCCGGAATAAACAAAAAAGAAAAACAACTACAGTAAGTATTTATAATCTCGCGTCAAAGATGTGACAAATATCAGAGAGATATTTCCCAATGTTCTTTTTACAAGTTTTCCTTGAGCCATTTCAAATAGTTGTCCATCATGCGGTGACCAATGCGGAAGTCCATCGGCCACACTGTGAACATCAAGCTTCCGTGAAAGCCCGAGTCGTAGTGTTCGTGCGTCACATCCACGCCGGCGGCGCGTAGACGCGTGACGTACATGAGCCCGTCATCTCGGAGGACGTCGTACTCGCATGTCAGGATGTAGGCTTTGGGTAGAGAGTGCAAGGCTGCGTCCGGAACCAGCAGAGGGGACGCCCTTGGGTCAGCTAAAGATCGGGAAGGTCCATCGGTTCCAAACGACTGCCCTGCCTTCCCTTGCAACACGGCGGGGACGCTGTAATTGTATTTTCTATGATACATTTCGGGCAGGAAGGCGCTCCAGTTGACGAACTTCAGCAGGCTGGAAGACTCGAGGCTGTTGTGGGCGTTGGCCATCATGGCTCTGAAAAAGGCCTTGTCACTGGTGAAGTACTCACTCCAAAATCGGACCATAAGGGTGCGTGGCAAAATGGGCATGTCTTGATTCTGTTGATAAGATGGCGTGTTGAGGTCCAGTGCCTGAAGCACAGGGTAGAGGAGGGCTTGGGCTTTCAACTGAACTTTTTGTGTTGGGTCCTTCAGTAACTGGAAAGATTTGGGGGTGTGAGGGAGGGAAAAAAAAAAAAGCTGATATCTTATTGAAGCGACCAACAATATCTGATGACATCAACGCATTGCATCACCTTAGCCCTTGTTTATTTGCAGTACAGCGATTTCACATAACCACTTATTAAAAGCCAACATGATTCATGAAACCCTGAGCCAAAACTAACACGCTCGCCGCTATGCCCTCCACGCACGGTCACAAATGGCCTCCAGAAGCATTTTAGAGAGCTGCAAAGTTGACTTTAAAGACAGCAGAACATGAACGAACATGACCGCTCCAATATAAAAGTGAACCAACCGCGTAAAAATACAAAGCGATGGCATGTACTGTATTTTTCAGATTATACGTCGCTCTTGCTGCAAAGTTGACTTTAAAGACAGCAGAACATGAATGAACATGACTGCTCCAATATAAAAGTGAACCAACCGCATAAAAATACAAAGCGATGGCATGTACCGTATTTTTCAGATTATACGTCGTCGCTCTCGATTAGAAGTTGCACCAGCCAAAAAATGCATAATTAAGAAGGAAAAAACATATATTAGTCGCACTGTAGTATAAGTAAAGCTGATATCTTATTGAAGCGACCAACAATATCTGATGACATCAACGCATTGCATCACCTTAGCCCTTGTTTATTTGCAGAACAGTGATTTCACATAACCGCTTATTAAAAGCCAACACGATCCGTGAAACCCTGAGCCAAAACTAACACGCTCGCCGCTATGCCCTCCACGCACGGTCACAAATGGCCTCCAGAAGCATTTTAGAGAGCTGCAAAGTTGACTTTAAAGACAGCAGAACATGAACGAACATGACCGCTCCAATATAAAAGTGAACCAACCGC